GGAACGTATACGTGTATCTGTATGATGATTCCCCCCCCCCCCCCCCCGGCGGCTTCGGTTAACCGCCACCGCGCCAGCGCCTCGACGACGACCGTTGGAAGTGATTGGAAGGTATATGAGGTTTGGCCGGTTTAGCCCGTTCAGAAATTTCACTCAGGTGCACGCAGGTATCAATATGCGCGTTCAGTGAGCTTGATAGCGTTTTCGACTGAGGCCCAGTTCCACGACTCACGGTTAACTTTAACCGAGGTTCAATTTATTCATTGTCTCTTTCCAATTCTAAAATTGGAAAGAGATGAGAAACAAGTTGAACCTCGATTAAGGGCCGATTGTTCCATCTTTTGGTGAAGCTTACCTATTAGGTAAATCTAGCAATCCGCGCACGTGATTGGATAATCTTGCTACTCTCTCTCTTATCTAACAGGTAAACTTTACCAAGAAGTTGGAACAATCGGCCCTAAAGGCTGCCGCAGACAAAATTTCTGTAAGTCCGGATCTACAAGAAATGGGCGAATCACAGTCGACTATTCCCCTCGGATTCGACTGTAATTGGTTAATTTCTTACGGCTTAAGGCTTAAAACCCTATTGTAGATCCGGGGTAACAGTAACCTTAAGACATGAATTCAAGCCGACGAGCCAATCAGGATATTGCTTTAGATCTACGTAATCCAACGGAAATAGAAGTAGCAGTAAACTTATCCATAAGGCGAGTTTCAACGGTTGAAATTCGCCTTATTGCGAGGTTATGGATAAGTTTACTGTTATTTATATTTCCGTTAGATTATGTAGACCTAAACCAATATCCTAATTGGCTCATTGGCTTAAGTTTACACCTTATGCATACTGTTACGGAATTTTGTCTGCGGCAATTTTCACGAGCTGTTCAAACCGGCTGTTTCAGCAACAAAAAGGATCACGTGGTCAAAATTGACAAATGATATTCGTCAATTTTGACCACGTGATCCTTTTTGTCGCTGAAACAGCCGGTTTGAAACCACAGCTCGTGAAATTGTACCTTTATACGGGGTTAGACGATTAGATTAATGACGTCACATGCTCTACCAAACCAACCCAGATCGGATTCAAACCCTCTCAGGCCCAGTTCCACAACTCACAGTTAACTCTAATGCGGGGTCTACAATAGAAGTCGTAGCAGTCGTAGAGTCTTAATCGTAGAAAATTGATCAATCATAGTCGAATATGAGAAGAATAATCAACTGTGATTGGTCAATTTTCTACGACTTAAGACCCTACGACTGCTACGACTTCTATTGTAGACCCCGCATTAGAGTTAACTGTGAGTTGTGGAACTGGGCCTGAGAGGGTTTGAATCCGATCTGGGTTGGTTTGGTAGAGCATGTGACGTCATTAATCTAATCGTCGGTACAAATCCACTGCAGTCGAAAACGCAATGAAAGAGCGCTCATTACTACACTCGCAATGTCGCAAGCGTTATGATCCAATCAGAGTCGAGCTAGCTCGATGTTGATTGGAACGCTTGCGACGCTGCGATGCGACTAATGTAGAACCAGCTTTAGGTGCATCCAGAAGCGCAGAGCGCTCAGTGAGCTCTTGTATCTGATTGGCGTATTCCATTAGAACTAAAAATATAGACCAAACAGGTACAAGAGCTCACTGAGCGCTTAATGAGCGGTCATGCTTCTGGATGCACCCAATGTATTCTTTTAGAGCTAAACATCTGATTGGATGATCTAGAAGAATACACCAATAGCAGCGAGCACTCACTTAACTGTTGAGTCCACTGTAGGCGTCCAATGAGTGCATTCAGCAATCAACCGACTCAACAGTTGAGTGAGCGCTCGTTGCTATTGGTGTATTCTTTTAGATCATTCAATCAGAATTTTAGATCTAAAAGAATGCAGCAATGGCAGTGAGGACTCACTCAATTGTTGAGTCTGCTGAACGCAGCCAATTGCTAAAGATACCTTTTCATGCTGATGCTCGACGATTTTTAACGTCAAAAAGTTACTTGATCAAAATTACCGCTGGATATTAATCATTTTGATCACGTGATCTGTTTTTATGCTAAAAATGGGCATCGAGCGTTAGCATGAAACTATACCTTTATTTTTGTTCAATATTTGATGAACAACAAAGATAAAATGACCTGGATCGATCCGGATGAATTTTCTGATCGTGGTCCTTTAAGTCAATTTTTTGAGCTAAACATAATTTAATGTACGCTCTTTATATTTATAATGAAATAAACATATGTTTAATGTTGGCAAAAAGCAAGAAGGAAATTAAAGTTCTGGTGTAGCAATAAAAAAAAACAAAACTCTGTTCTTTGTCTCTGGACTCAAATAGAAGAGTCTAGTGCTCGTTTCTACTAATAGATTAGCTTTAATCATAGTTTAACTTACTTTTTATCTTCTTCTAGTTCTAAAAATTAGAAAAGGATAAGGAATAAATTAAAAACTGATTGTGAGATTATAAAGTTTTACCTACATTAGTAGAAAAGGGTATAGGCCAGTCCCCTCGCTTCGCATCGTGCGTTTGGACAAGGTCGGTGAACACGGCATTATATCGATGTCATGTCAGTTTACGACATATCGTGATATCCTTGATGTCTAAGTGTTTCTACTTTTAATTAAATGTTTAATTACTCGTTATTACAGAACTGCGACTGCATTGATGTTTATATTCTTGGAGGATTATTTTTTTACTTGGAACAATGATTTTTTTTAATTGAATGTATCTTGAGATCTAAACATTAGTAAAAATATGATGAAATGAAGTTTAAATTCTTGTCTAGCTATCTTCACAGATGTTAAACACAAACGATGTTTACCATGTGCTACTCTTGATTGTCTGCAAGAATTGCTATTGCTGTATCTGTCCGAAAAGTCAACACACATTTCCTGAGAAAGTGTAATATATTTTGTATAGTGAAACAATACTTTCAGAAATGGATAACGATACTCCTGTTATATATGGACTCGAATTTCAAGTATGAATCTATTACAAGTTAATTATGAATTTTAAATAAATCAGTATATCTTTTTATTTTATATTATTTCATGTAACTGTCTCCAAGTAACATTGTTTATTATTTGCTATTGCTATTTAAATATTACTTGTGTATGGTTATTTAAATGTAGAAATTTTAATAAGTTATATTTGAAAAAAAATCATAATGCTGTTTTGTTTTAGACTAGAGCACTATCAGCTCAAACAGCCGAGACAGATATTGTAAGATTCTTGGTAGGAACGCAATCTTTAAAATTCAGCAACAACCAGGTTCACTTAGTGGAGCTTAATGAGGAAACAGGCAATTTAAAGACTCAAGTGTTCCAGCATCCAATAGGAGAAATTTGGTCTTTACAGGCTTCTCCAATTGAACCTGATGTATTTATTACATGTTACAATAGTTTAAGTGGTAAATAAGTCTTATGTTACATATTCAATTTCTTAAAGTAACATTTTTTCATTCAAACTGAAATCGATTACGAATTTATCATTATTAATTATATTATTAATTTTAATAATTAATAATTATATTAATTATAGTATTAATAATTATATTTAATATTTTATTATTAATAAATTTTTTTAATAATTATATATTCGTTAAATATGTCTTCTGATGCTTCAAAGAATTTATTTTTCTAGAGGAAGGTATCTGCCGAATGAAAGGAGCAGTCTGGAGATTCCCTGAGATAAAAGAGTACACTAACGATATTTTGCAGCTCGATAAATTAGCTGATATTGATACAACTCCATATGGCACTGATCTCAAAACTATTGCCTATCACCCTATGAATAGCAAGAAAGCAGTGTCAGTAGTAGATAATAATTTTGTTTTGTGGGATCTAACTGAAGGACCAAAGGTATTGATCTCTTATTCTTTTAAACAATTGAAATTACTAACATTATACGTCGAATTTATCCCTGTTATTTTTAAAACTGACTTTTTAATTTTTGTATACATTCAGGTTACAGTAGCGGGCACTTTAGCAGGCAAGGGTCAGCCACGATTTACGAATGGTAAATGGAATCCTCATAATGGTGCTAATCAGTTTGTAACCTTGAATGACAACAATGTTCGTGGATGGGATTTTAGATGTCCGGCCAATGCTGCTTGGTCTATTTTATCTGCACATTCACAAATTATTAGGTAATAATGATAACATAAAGATTGATAGAATTGAATTCATATCTTCATCGTGTAACTCATTTCTCAGGGTGAATTCTTGATAGAATTGAATTTATATCTTCATCGTGTAACTCATTTCTCAGGGATTTAGATTTCAATGCAAATCGTCAGTATTTTCTATCTACTTGCGGTGACGATGGTTACATGAAGTTCTGGGATACCAGGCTACCCACGGAACCGGTGTTGTCACGTATGGAACATTCGCACTGGGTGTGGAACATAAGGATTAACCGCTTTCACGATCAGCTCGTTTTAACGTCTAGCAGTGACTCTAGAGTGATATTATGCAGTATTGCGTCCATATCGTCTGAACCGTTCGGTCATTTGGTGTCAGACGAGCCTTCGCAAAGCGAAGAATCTTACGGAAAAAAGAAGTAAATAAATGTATCATGGAGTATAACTTCTTAGCCAATTCATACATAAAATATAACATTTTATGTTTACAATATTTTAGATTAGAAGATGGTCTGGTAGGAAGATACGAGGAGCACGAAGATAGTGTGTATGCAGTGGAATGGTCATCTGCTGATCCTTGGACTTTCGCATCTCTCAGTTACGACGGTAGATTGGTTCTGAATAAAGTACCGCGTAAATATAAATATCAAATACTTCTGTAAATATGTAATATATTTCGCGAAAGATAATATACACGCCTTATATTATTTTATTATAAATTTAATTTTTCTATGAATGATATGTATACAAAAAAATATGAAGTATACATAATATATAAATATATACATAATACCAAACATAGTTTTATAATTAATATATGTATATATACTCATATATATGTACAAATAGAATATGTAGATATTCTATTTAGAATCGTTCTGATATCTTGCTAGCTATGTTTCTTAATTGTCCATAAACCTTGGAAGGAGGACTGCCTAAGATTAAATTACATATCGCCCTACGAGCTAATTGTATGTTCTGGTAAGAACCAAGGATGTGTATCTTGGTATCGGCTATCACAATCCTAGTTTTCGTTACGTTCTCGATGGTAAACTTTGTTCTTCCACCTTTGCCCGCTAATCTTCCAATTGCCCTAGATTGATGATCCCCTTTCATTTGTTGCTTGACGTCTTGTATCTCGAAAGATTCCACAAACAGATCGTCCAGACGTAACAAAGCCAAAGCGTCCTCCACCTCGAACCCACAGATGAACGCTTTCACGAAGTCTGCCGCTTTTTGGAGGTATGAAATATCCGGGGTTTCTGGTGCCGTTCTAATTTCTACATTTCTAGTCTTCACATTGAAACGTATTTGCAGTTTCAGGTGTTCGGTAATGGGTGTAAATATTTTTATCCAGTTTTCCTTCAAAGGCGAGTATCTGTGTGCTGGTACCGATATCTGAAATCATATTTGTTTAAACTGCAGTTTACATGTAAATTATTTTTCATTATATTTAAAGACAATTAATTGTCTTCTAAAAACTAACTGTACTTCATAAAAAAGAATCATTTTAAAAAATCACGTCTTTTATTTTTTTTTACCATTGGCTGCATTCAGCAGAGAAAACTAATCAGCGCTTAGTGATTCTTTAATGTGATTAGTTCTTGCCTTTAATTCTTCACTGGATCTAACAAGGAAAAGGACCTAACTGTCCCCCTCTGATTTTAATGAGCTTTTAGTATGTTATTTCCCAGACAAAAATAAGTGACACGTATTTTTTCATACGTGCTCATATGCACTTTTAAGGGGTGAAACATCCCTTGAAAAAAAAATCGATTTTTCTCTTTCGAAGCAAATGTCGCCGGAACTGTAAGATAGAAAAAAATTTTCAGAATGAAAATTAAATGATATTAAGAGTACTTCAGAAATATAATTCACTTTAAAAGAGAAAAACATGTTTTTTCTAAAGGGTTTCATTTTCTAAAAGTGCATATGGGCATGTATAAAAAAATACGTGTCACTTATTTTTGTCTGGAGAATAACATACTAAAAGCTTATTAAAATCAGAGGGGGACAGTTGGGTCTTTTCCTTGTTTAAGTGTAGAAACCAATATTAAAAAATCACTAAGCGCTGATTAGTTTTGTGTGCTGAATGCAGCCATTATATATTATATTTTGTTGCATATCATATTACCTTTCTTTGTTCTCCACCTTGCACATTCTTGGCTTTCTTTTTAGCTGAATACTGTTTTACTTTTCCCTTTATTCCGTTAACTATCTCTACCTGTGGAACAAAATCTTTATTATTTTTATTAGTGAATACTTTATATATAAGTGCATAAGCAAAACGTCAACCAACTGTTACGGCGTTTATAGAAAACAATTGGCTGTGATCAACAGAAAAAATATTTTGCACACACACAACTATATTATAAAATTTTTTAATATGATCGATTCTTATCCTTAATTTTTCATGATTAATCATTAAACTGATAGTTTTGTAGTAACTTTTAAAGTTACCATTACAAAACTATCAGTGATTAATCATAGCTTAAAGAAACACGTTTTTATATTATCATCAAGTGAGGTTAAGCCTAAACCACGAGCGCGCCTAAATAAGGTTAACCACATGTTAACTAGAAAATGGAAAACCACCTCTTAATAACAATTCGTTATCGTTATTTTATCATATATAATAATACATGTGCAACAACGATATAAAGATAGCGACAATGTCGTTAATAATTACAGAATACAGACACATAACTGATGTAAAATCGTTGATAATGTGTGTAACTGTGCACATGGATATGACAATTTTATTTCCATAATAAATGGAAATTTTAGCAATATTACAGCAACGTTGAAATGTCGCTGAAATATTGCTTGAATGTTTCATGCTATCTGGAATATTTGGGTTTGTCTGTCATGTGTTCTTACCCTTATGACAAAAATAAATTATAAAATCATGAGACAAAAGGGTTCTTTTTACAAAATATATTTATTCTTTGATCAAAGTTGTCTTCAATTTCAGAACAATACTATTTGTTGTGTAATTCAACATAATACCTCCATCATGCAATCATCGTTAGCTTGACGTTTTTTGACTATATTCTCCATTTCAATCTCTTGTTGGGTCGTCGTGGCTTCTTGCTCGGTGCGATGGACTCTCTTCTTCTTCTTCTTCTAATTAATGGCTCCTGTCTCAAATGGAGAAAACGGAGCAAAACGGAGGAAATACGGCTAGATCACGTCTTAATGAATTACAGTAGCAAAAAAACACAATGGCTGCGTTCAGCAGACTCAACAGTTTTGCAACCGTTTTATGATTGTCTGCTGAGATAGGATCATTCTTCTAGATCTAAAAGTATGATCCAATTAGCGCGAAGGAAACTTCCAACAGTTGCAAAACAACCGTTCTGCTGAACGCAGCCCATGCTTGCGAAAATGGCGTTGCCCGAAAGGACACCGGGCGCCTGCGTAAAAATGAAAATAAAAGGTATAATCTCCAATGGGGGGGGGCCTTGATCTTGATAACCCCGGATCTACAATAAAGTTTTAAGCCTTAAATCATAAGAAATGGGCGAATACAATCGAATATTCTCTTCGAATTTGACTGTAATTGGTCAAATTCTTACGGCTTAAGTCTTCAAACATCTATTGTAAATCCGGACTAAATGTTATCCAGGACATGATTCTGAACAACATTCAAGAAGTTTTAGCCGTTGGTCGGACAACTTGGAGAATGCAAATGCCAGCAGTACTGTAACTTTCGTACCTCATAACTCGAAATGTACTTAACGAAAAAATACTTTATTATAGTGTTTTGAAAAGTATGTGAGCTCTTGCATCTGATTGGCATATTCCGTTAGAACTAAAAATATAAAGCGGAATCCATAGACGGTGCTCAAAATTCGAGATGGGCTTAAGCTAGTGCATGAACCAATCAGAGAGCCGCATTAGCATCTTAATGGCTTCTGCACACAGAACGCGGCAACGCCGCGCGGCGGAAATTGACGTGATAGCCAATCAGTGTCTCGCTTGCTCGAACGTAATAGATATATAATTTCCACCGCACGACAAAAGTTGAACTCAATTCAACTTTTGCCGCGCGGCGGAAGTAGTATTACATCATTTCTAGAAGTTTTGCAAGGTGAGACCGACTTAAGAACATAGCCTTAAACTTGTATCTTCTTTTGCTCATAACTTTGGTTTTTTATCGAAATTTTTCTCATTTTATAATCCTTATTGATTTTCCAAAAAAATATATTATATATATAATAATATATTATCTATATAGAATTATAGATACGTTAAAATAGGGCCTTACGGGATCTTTATAAGTTCGACATTGAGGCTGATATTACATGAGTGCGGAAACACGGAAATACGGAAACGCGCAACCAATCAGTAATCGGTGAAACGCGAAACATAACAGCGGATTGCTTCTGATTGATTACGCGTTTCCGCATTTCCGCGCTCATGTAATAGCACCCTAAAGGTGCATTCACATGCAAGCGTCAAGTGTCAAGCAGCGGAAGCAACAACCAATCAGCTGGACGATACGGGCAGTGGTGTAAAAAATCGCCTCGTTGATTGGTTGCTGCTTCCGCTGCTTGACGCTTGACGCTTGCATGTGAATGCACCTTAATACAGCACGATGCCATGTCCAAACGCGCATGCGTCAAAAGATGACTCGCCTAACAACCAAGAAGACTAGAACTAAGGAGGATCAACTCGTGTGGTGGGGGTGAGTCAAAAAACGTCCGCGGTTATTCACACGATGTGCAGCGGCACTGCGCATTGTGTGAAAGTTCGATATAAGAGCGACAAAGTGACGATTATAGAACGATAGAGCGACAATTATATAGAGCGACAGAGAGGACTAATGAAGCGCAAGAGTGGGGGAAGTTATCCGTCGCCACTTTTTGCCTCACCCCCACTACCGCTATTGGCACGAGTTGACTCTCCTTAGTTCTAGTCTTCTTGCTAACAACACTGCTTCATGGGACTCCAGCATTATTAACGCTATTTTGAAGGGTATATGGCTACGGTCCAATTGATGCTTCAAATGCTTCGAAGCATTTTTTGATTGGTCAATTATTAAAATTCTTTCTTCCGATTGGTCAATTAAACGCTTCGAAGCATTCGTAGCGCCAAGTGAACCGCACCCTAGACTTTATCGTCTAGGGACATTCAAATATCTCGTAATAGCGCTAATAGCGGAGGTATCTTTTCCGCTCAACTTGTCTTTTTCTCGCATTTTCTCGTTCTACCCCGCTACTGCTCTGCCCAGCTGTTTTGTTACGTCTTTTATCTATACCACCCTATACTACTATTAATGGAAAAAAGATAGTTCGCTTACAATTAGTCGACACGTAGAAAGTTTTAATAGGAACAAATTTTCGTTATAAGGTTATACCTATATCGTGCACATAATCGAGAAGATAATTATAATTTAACAATTATATAGAAATTATTTTCGCAAATTTTTTATGCCGATACAGCTAAAATATATTTTTAGGGGCTACACCTAAATTTTATAAAAAATATATTATGCGAATAATCATTATGTTTTCGTTAATAGAAATGCAAAATAAAGACTGATTCATCGGTTCTCGATAACATCTAATCTGAAAGGTTAACAGGTCCGTACGTAGATTATCCACATGAATAATTCTTGCGATGCATGCTTAGACAAAGGACTTGCCGTTCGCAAAATCATTCCATTTCAATATAGCATGTTTTTTTAATTATAAAAAATCGTACTAGATGCAAAAATCTTATATCAATACGTCTTCTCCTTTGATCGAATGTCATCGTCCAAGAGGTGACTGACATGGAATGGATATAAACATATATTTGAATATGAATAAAAATTGATCCAGACAAAAAAATGCGTTGTCTTAATGCAATTTTCATATGAAGCCTGAAAATGAGAGGATTCATCTATGATTCGTGTTCTTTTTTGTGTTGCGAATGTTAAAAAATGATAAATGACAATTTAAAAATATTTCACGCGAAAAAATAAAATTGAATTTTTATATTATGCCAAATAATAATTTTAATAATAAACAAACAATTTACTATTATCTCAGTATTCTAGTAAGTCGTGATTGTTTTTGTAATTTGTAATGCGGCAATTATGTTTTCGATAGATCTGGAAATGTTGATTAAATAAACGCTGCATAAACAAGCTGCGATGTATAATCACATTTGAAGATAAAATAAAAATAATAATGTAAAAAATTACATATAAATTATGCTTGCGTTAGTTAGCACATAACAATTAGAACGTAGCGAATCGCTCGATGAAAATGGGTAGAATACAATATAAAACAAGCAAACGCATCGTTTTTTTTTATAACACATTTTTCATTGTCTTATAAGTCTATGGTAATTAATAATTAATAACAAGAAAAAAACCTTTTTCATCAATGTGTCTACAATAATTATTAAAAGATACAATTAGCAAATTACTATGTTGTGTATTCACTTTGTGTAATAATAGGTAATAATATAATTGTAATATTTTCTCCATATAATCATAGCGCGATATCTCTCACGTGTGTGTTGCTCAATCGTTTCTACAAATATAATATATATGGTATCTAATATTCTTTATTTCATATATATATATATTTATATATATATAGATTTATCCACTTGGATTATTATCAATCGTTTACTTCTTTTTTTACTGCTATTTATATATCGTATAACCAAATACTAAAAATACAAATGTTTTGCATATAGTAGGTTTTAAAGTCATCAAACCACAATCCCAATCTGGTGATCTTAAAACGCACATCCATATACATAATGTAATATTTTTTGCGGATTTGCCTACAAAATTAAGGAGCTCGTTAAGCGCACGACTATATAATATTTATATATATATATATGTATAAATATATATATATAAACAGACGTAAAAGATCATTTGTTATTCGGCATTAATTATTATAGATTGCGCGTAGATGGTAGCATGTAGACTTTACACCGTTAAACGAACCATAAAATATCAACACCAATTATTTATTGAGCTTCTCACACGTATACCCGCTTCTCGAAATTACTGATGGCTGTGCCGACAGTTATCTCACATCGTTACTCGGCATCTGATCTTTGGCGCATTATTTAACCGCTCCCCTTTACATTACACGCATACATATATGCGATTATTACGGCAGATACTTTAGAAGCTCCTTAATTATGCGAGCACGCTAAATGTCCGCTTATACTTAAGATATATCTGTATTTACACAAAGAGCTTACTTTTTGTTTATAATCTATACAATCATATAAATGTAATATTCAATGATAAAATTGTAACATAATAATGCCTAGCCTATCTATCTAATGCGAAAGAGAATATTTTTTACATCGAAATTACAATCCTTCCGTTATTCCTGTATATTCTGCAATTAAATTATTATATATTACACACGATCCTATTTGCGTTACAGGATACGAATGAAATCAAGTCGTGTACCCATTTCTTTATATTTTTATATACATTCAGGTTGTGTGATCTCCCATCCGAGTAAAATAAGCATGCTATTATATACAATGTGACCCAGTGTGTGTATGTGTACATGTGTGTGCGGGCGTGCGTATGTGTGTACATATATGTGTGTGTGTGTGTGTGTGTTTCTCGTTTCTACAATAAAAATAAAATCTAATAAACAAGCAATATTCTAACTAATTTAAATCGATATTAAAAATAGGAACAAATTCAACGAAACTACAACCCAAGAAGCAGTCTCTGTCTCTCTTAATTTTTTTGGGATATAGATCGGTGAAATTCTTTCCTATTTTAAATATTATTAAATTCAGTATTTATATCTTAGTGTGAGAAAAGCATTTCTATTAAAGAAGTGTCGCCTGGTAGCCATCGAGCCTTTGGGAAAAGTATCGGAAAAGTTTTCATGCACACACTATATAGTTGAGCACTGCACTTATCGTATTTTGTACATTCTATGCCTGTAACGATCGTTATGACGATCTTCCTTTCATCGTATAATAAATGTTTACTTGGTCTGTGTCATGAGAAATCGAAGATTTGTACAAAATTATCTATGACCGGTATTTATAGTCCGTTCTTATTTTAAGATCGTAGTAAGTAAAATCTTAAGATGTTAATATACAGTCTTTTGAGATTAGCTTATGACATCGTAAGACTGTATTTAAGACAGTTTTAAATATAAGAATCGACTATAAATATCGCCCTATGTTCAGAAACAAGATTATGATCACATTTTAATATGTAATTTTTAACGGTGTATACATATTATTATATCTCATCATCACAATTGTAGACAAA